CAGGACATTTCATTAGAGCCATCTGAGAGAAGTACGTCAGGTGTGCTAAAGCAACACCCCATCCAGGACTGGAAATTATTACAGTATGTAAATCCTGAGTCCAATCAACTGTGCAACTCCATAACTCCAAATTCACATTAATTGCTACGACAATAAGAACTAATAAAACATCGGACAACATCCATGTTATTCTGCACAATGATGCAAATAACTGCATCCTTGCTAGAATGAACTGTGGCTACATGAGCCAAATTGATACACTGAATTAGAGGAGGCCAATTTTCTGGGACTCTCCAAGAATAATCACGGTGAAGGTGTCAGAAATAAAACTTAATAGAAAGTCTGCAACCCTTGACGGGGACTACGCCCTCTGGGGTTTCAAGACTGCGAATTATGTTACAGGTGCAGCTCAGTCTCAAGGAAAGCAGATTGTTCTTGATTTGACCAATCAGGAATTCTGCGTTAAAAGTTACAACCTGAAAACTGAGATAAAACTTTTTTTTTTTACTTTTATAAAAAAAGAGACAGCATCTTCTGGTGACAAACTTCAAACAGTGTGGCATAGTCAAGGGATGTGATGTATTTTTTAAAATTTCTCTGTAAACACAGACTGTGCTGATGTGGTGTGATGACACCTTCTGCCTGTACTCACAGTGACACCAAGTCACTGAAAGTGAGAAGCCCAGATCTCTAGTTCTGAAAACTCACAGATTACACACAGTATGTTAATCTACTAATTACTGCTGAACAGTTTTGAAAACCACCAAACCTGATAATTAATCATGACTTTTTTAACATCTTCCCCCAGTTTACCTTATATAGAGCTGGAGTATTTCCCATACTGTTAGTGAAATTTGAAGTCAGACATTGGAATACATGGAATTTAAAAACCATTTCCCACACTAGAATAATTCAGAATTAAATTTTGCATTTGAACTATCCCAAATGTTTCATGCCATTGATGTGAGCATCATTACTTTCTTACGTTTATAACAATGAAGGTTTAGTTACACAGGCCTTATTAAATTGAATCATTTTACCAAAGTTGGCAAATTCTGTCAGAATAATCCTTTTGTGCCGTAGCTTTGCAAAGTTACGTGTATATTAAGACTACAATTAAAATACCGTACTTCCCAGAAATGGAAAGTCATGTTTTTGTGGGACCAGATGACATAATGTCATCTAATAATAATAATAATACCGCATGACACACCAGGCTGTCCTTACACACTCAATGGGCACATCATCCAGTGTGAGATTTCCGGTAGAAAGACTCGTTAATTATTGTATATAGGCAGCTGTCCAGTCTCTATTGTGATATTTTTCCTTAATAAAATGAAGCCTCTCTTATAAGGCTTAACTGTTTATCCTCCCACAGTAAGTCTCTGTATAGGTCTCTGCAATTTTGTTAATTGCTGAGATATATGCTGAGCAAATATCAAAGGCTGGCTTGAATGTGATTGTATGAATTCTGAGAAGTATTTATTTCAACTGTAGTCAGCAGCCATATCACCCTGCAACTCACAACTGGCAACCCACTGAAGCCCAGCAGGTGTGAGCCTGGCCAGTACCTGGATGGGAGACCTCATGGGAGAAACTAAGGTTGCTGCTGGAAGAGGTGTTAGTGGGACCAGCAGGGAGTGCTCACCCTGCAGTCTGTGTGGGTCCTAATGCCCCAGTATAGTGACAGGGACACTATACTTTAAACAGGCCCCATCCTTCGTATGAGATGTAAAACTGAGGTCCTGGCTCTCTGTGGTCATTAAAAATCCCAGGGAGTTTCTTGAAAAGCATAGAGGTGTAACCCCGATGTCCTGGCAAAATTTCCCATTGGCCTTTACCAGTCATGGCCTCCTAATAACCCCCTCTCTGAACTGGCTACATTACTCTACTCTCTTCCCAACTGAGAGCTGATGTGTGGGGAGCGTTCTGGCGCACTATGGCTGCCGTCGCATCATCCAGGTGGGGCTGCACACTGGTGGTGTTGGAGGGGATCCCCATTACCTGTAAAGCGCTTCGAGTGGAGTGTCCAGAAAAGCACTATATACAGTACAGTAAGTGTAAGCTATTATTATAATTCCCTCAGCTGTTTAGATGAACATAAATGAGATGTGGGGGTATTTCTAGAAGGGCTAATGCTCTTCTTTAACACCAAATTAATATATTTTGAAAATGATATATACAGTATATAGTCTATTTCTGGCATCCCTTAATTTGCCAAATTTCTTTTAGTCTGTGGTGTAGTAAAAGATATTGGCTGATTGAGTCATAAACAGCAGGGGCAATACCAGAAAAATATATTAAAATATAATTGAGAACTCTATAAAACTTAAATTCATGTGTACTTGTGCTTCTTTGATACACACAATTAAAACCACAGACATATTTAATCATTAAAAAAATAAGGAATGTTGTGTGGAAAAAGATACACGAACATTTATTGTGGACTGTATAACTGTAGACTTTATGTACCAAACATCTCACTTGAAGTTAATCTTCTTTATGTATAAACAGCCATTCAGCACCTAAGGGAACACGGCCTATTTCAGTGAGCTGCAAGGCTAGGGGGTGATCAAGTTGCAGCAGTGCGAGGTTCTACAGGAAACAATAACAAACCAAATTAGAATTTGTAATTTTAATTAAGTAATGTTATCACATTCATTTTACAATTGAACTGCTTTCAAAACACATACTGTAAAGTGCTGATGACGGTCTGGTCAAGAGATTGAATTCACTTTGTTCACACAAAAAAAACTAACAACAACAAAGGCGTTTCCATGTGTGACTGTGCTGCCATCTAGCAGATGTGTGACGGCTGAGCTTTGCCAGGGGAAAGACTGTATTTTATACATTAGAACCAACCTAAGACCCAGGCTGGTCTCCTAGCAACCCCACAGAAGTCGGCCTGCCCAGGGGGGATGGGTAGGCCACATCACAGGCCTTCTCCAGGCCCAGACAACGAGCGGAGGCCTTCTCCTTAACCAAGAACATCCTGACACTCTCCCAGTCCGAGCACCTAGCCATGTCTCCGAACACCGTGCGCGAAGCAAGATCAGCTTTTCATATCTTTACAGGTTTACTGCAGTGCTCGTGTCCTCACGAAATGGCATCAGAGCAGATCCAGTAAGATTTTTTAAATTGCTGTAATGTGGAATGTAAGTCCTGTATATGTTGCATGATTGCACAGACTGACACGAAGATGGCACGCAAGCTCAATTTTGTTTTGCTACTCGGATACAAAAGTGAGACAGAAGGGACAGAATCTAAACTGACAGCAGCCGCTTTATGCAATGGATGTTTGACCTTTTCCTCAGATTGTGTTTCAAACTGAAGGTGCAGAGACTGCCGATGTATGCTGACGCAGCAAAACAAGGGTTTCTGTTAGAGTGACGCATGCTTTAACAGGAGGCGTGGTCCTAGTAGAGGATCGACGTCTTGAGAAATCAGAAAGCAAACCAGGATAAATCTGCCTTCTCGAGAAGGGTCAGATCCAGCCACAGGCTGGCAGGGCTCAGCTTTCACCAAAGAGGCCTTTTCTCTGGCACAGCGTAAGCACTTGCCTGTTGCTGTCCGGACCCCACTTTAACATCTCATCAGACGGCCGCTTCTACAGCACAGTGTCCCTGACCACCGGACTTGGGCTTCGATTTGGAAAACCTGGTCCAGAGGGAACAGTGACTCCTTTGGTCCAGTTCATCTTTGGCCCAGACTTACTTAGCAGATAGTATCAGCCCACGAGATAGAACCACCGCTGTCAGAATTGACGTATAATAAAAATCTCACACACGCGTTCTTTTCAATTCAGCTCTGGTGTTCAATAATGTTCCAACCTGGCCATGTAGAAAATTTTAACTGCAGACTCTTGCAATAGGAGAGCAAGATGTGAGGTTTATTCGGTGCATTTGTGTGCCCTCTAGTGAATAATTAAGGATACAACACATTAAATCCTGAAGTCAGTGCAGTTGTGAGGACTGTATACGCAGTTACAGTGCGTGACGGAACAGACGGGCTCTGTCTCTTCTCGGCCATGGCTGATATAATTCCCTAATGACTTCTTGATCTTCAACACCACGGACAGACTGCATTCTGAGAACACGTGCTCGGGAAAAATATTTGCACAAACCCACTTCAGAGGCATTCGTTGACCACTACAGCCCTTCCAAGCCAGGTGTTAAAATAAAGGCCGGACGTGTTAAAACTGAGGACTTTGTTCTCTTCTCTCTTTCTCACCAGACTGTAGATGAACAAGAGGAAAGTGAACAACATTATATACCAGCGAAACCAGCCAAACAGGACATCCGTCAGTTTTACTGCAGCAACAGTGATAAATAAACACACAAAAATGACAAATTTTGGACCTTTTGTACTACCAGTCAAGGATGGCAAAAGGCAAATTCAGTTTGCCTGTGAGCCGTTACCTTCAGAAGACTTGAATGAAGATTGGCCAACATTTCAACTTTGTCCCAGTTGGGTAGAAAAATTACTCCTTGTGCTCCAGCCCTAGATTGCTCAACATTTCTTCGTAAACCATTTCAAAAGACTTCTAGAAATAACCTCACATTTTGCACTCTTCCCAGTTTCTGCCAATGTATTCTGGCCCTATTGAACAATGACTTTGGCTCTAATTTCCCAGCTAACATATTTATCATACATAATTTTAGCATAAATGGAATAATGCTTTAAAAGTGTGCAAATGAGTTTTTTTTATGTTTTATCATTAACATTTCAGTGTCTTTAAGTGTACTTCACTAAGCAAAAGACATCTAGTCTAGACATCTAGAGTAGTATACTACTTTAATGGTATTAAATACTGAAATAAATAAAAAGCACAGTTATGTTCTCTTTGTATAGGTTTTGTTCTCTATTATTTTTTAAAGACATTTAAAGTCACCTCTATTAATAAGATGAGGGAAAACAAAACTTCTAAGCCGGAAAACACAGTAGACCATGAATAAATACTAAAAACCTTTTTGTTTTATGAAAAAGAAAAGGAAATGATAAAAGTTTAAATACTGTATTTATTTACAGGTCATTTACACAATACAATTGAGGAACAAAGGAACAGCAACAGTCTGATTTGTGTACAGAGACGGCAAAATGAACAGTGTTCAACAGTACAGGGATAAAAAAGATCTTTAAATCTGGAAGTTAATGTTAAGTAAACAATATAAGCAGGTTACAAGATTATAATAACTGCATAAAATTGCTTGGCTTCAAAACAATAAGCCTAATTTAATAGACAGCGTATATTTCCACAGAACAAACCTCAGTGTATACAACAATACAAAAATAGTGGTAAAAATCATTTTCACAGGGCAGCCGCCTGCCTTCTGTTTAGCATTTTGGAGACACTTTTTGCTAAATTATTGTTAACAGCATATTAAAAGAAACTTTAAAAACTTGATTTGAATTATTCATACCAAGCACAAAAGCCAACATGCTGTCCTGTGATAATATTCAAATATTTGAACATGGTAAAAAAATGTTTTTACAATATATAGGTTAAAGAAATATTGGACCTGTCACCTACAAGTTCTTCAGTTGTATCCTTTTGCATAAATCTGTACCGCATCCCTGATCCTCACATCGTATAGGCCTTGTTATGACAATATCTTTCAAACCTTCCCAAGATCAGCACCAGAAAAATGTGCAAATAAGTGGCATTTTAAGCAACCAAATGGATCTATGGACATAAGTCAAATCGGAGCCGAAAACGGCTTTAGATGGGCAACTTCTAGAAACGTCTGCTGCAACTCGTCTTTGATCAACCACAACGATACGAGACGCCACACCTAGGAAGACAACACTCCCCATTCCATACGTCTTGTTTCCACTCCTGGGAAGGGTTGTGGAAAGGGTTGCGACTGCCCCCTTGCTCGCCTCTGAAAACGCGCAAGAGCCTTGCTCACCGAGAGCAGCAGCTCCTACCGGGGGGGATAAGACAATGTAAATGACTCACTGATAGTTGCTTAACAAATGAGGTAGATTTTAAATCTGATTCAAAATGTTGGCAATATAATACCAGTGGAACTGTCGGAGGCAGCACTTTTCCCATTTCAATTTGAACTAAAAATGGAAATAGGCTCCTGAATGGTCCTATGATCTTCTGACAAGAAGTAAATATGGTGGCCAAAGCAGAAATTGGACCATTTACTGTTTCACACAGCCATTTGCAGAAACAAGACATGGAGTAGCTCGATCTAGGCAATCCCTTCAATGGTCTTATGAAGCAGTAAATACGGTTTATTATCTACTGCTATAGTCACCCATACTATTGGCACAAACAGAAAAACGTTAAAACCAAATCTTAGATTTTGCGAAATACCTTATACAGCCTTGTTAAGGATTTAAGTGCTAATTTATCATCTATAACCTCAGAACGTCAGATCTAGATCAAAGTAAAATATATTAAAATATTTTCTATGCAATTTGTATTTGTATACACAATATAAAACAACATATTTACAAAACACCTTCTAAAATGTTGGGTAATTGTGACTAACTGGACAACTCCTACAGTTTGAAAAATGTTGAAGTCATTACCTCACGTAAATACATTATCATACAAAGATAAAGATAAAGCTGTTTAATGTGGAAAAATATGAACTCTCTGAATTCTTTTTGTTTCTTTAAATAGACCTATGCTTACATAAATATTGCATTGAAAATTGGGACAAAAGCCCCAGAAAAAATAATCTAGAAATATTTATTTGCCTGTTTCCACACATCTTTTCTAACCTTGCTTTACCCCGAAGCAAACGGGTTTCATAGGCAAGACATTAGAGAGACATATAATACAACTGTAATGCAACATTTTAGATACGGCATATTAAAACCCCTCCAGCATTAAACTGGAGCCCCGTATGTGTTTGACAAAAGTGGTCTGCTAAGTAGTTTGTACCAAGGGACCAGCTACGTAAACGTTTAAAAAACAAAACTATAGTGACTTGAAGACAAGCAAGAGTGTTGTGGTTTCAGAGAGAGATGGAGTTTACAGGAACAACTTCAGCTCTGATCAATCACCCATTAAGTGTTTTTTATCCATCTTCTACCACGTAATTTATTATTCTGACTCAGGATTATAAAGAAAATATTGGGTTGCAAAGAACTACTGAGCTCTGACATATGACATTGCGATTCTCTGCTTGACACACACATACGTCAAGCAATGCTATACTTACTAAGGTTATTTAATCATAATTTTAAAACAGCCTAAATATAAATATCTCTCAACAAAACGGTAAGTATTATTTGAGGAGGAATACGTAGCAGTGAACCAATAAGGGCTGAAAGTTAATAATGCATTATATTCGGATTATCAATATTGTGGTCCATGATATACAAAGTGTACATGATATAACACTTCCTTTTTTCATCACAATATAGCAGTAAAAATGGAGTAAGCATACCTTATAAATAAGAATTAACTAATGAACTAATGGCTTCACGGGCAGCCCATTATGATTGTATATACTGCAAACTTATATATAAAATTTCTAGAATTACTACAAAATTCTAGCAGAAGCTTTAGGAAACTCAACAGACTATAGTGTCATCTTTAAGTCTCCCTACCTACCTACTCTCCAGTCTTAACTTATAAAACAATATTTCCTTATTTCAAGTTGAATAAAAATTCCCAAATCTACCCGTCATAATTGCATGCTCACAGAATAAATAAAGTACTGTACAACGAAGGCACTATCCAGACAAGCGTCCGTGTCGGGCTCTCTGGTAAGAGTGCAATGCGTGGGGGATATGGGATATTGGAAGAGTTAAATTTTCTCTAGCGGCTCATGTCCCAGGGAGTGTCTTTAACAGGCAGACGCGGACGAGTTAGTCTTGAAAAGGGACGATTATTGCTGGGTGCCGCAGCGAAGCAGCCTCCTTCAGTCCAAAGCGCTGCAGATTTGTAGGACTTTCTGATTGAAATCCTCGGACTGATCGGCGTAGACGTAGTGCCCTGCCCCCCGTACGGCCTGCGAGAGGGAAGAACAGAGGAATGGAAAACAGGAGCCCTTCACGAACCTCCTCGCAAGATTTTCAGAGGTGTTTCAGCTTTAGAAAACACGGCACGATGTGATTCGCCCCAGACAGGTAACGGGGACACCAACAGACCTTCTCTTAGTGATTATTGCTACTACTTTTTTTGTGATCATATTCTTTGTTTCTGGGTAATGGCAAAAAGTACAACAAACCAAAATCCCTCCCTTTTCCCCCCAAAACAGTAGTTGTAGAGGCCCACCCCCAAATATTCTTACTATCATTTTGTCAAGCTTGGAAAAATGATTTCTTACAGTTCTCCCCACAACATCACAATGCACAATGTTTTAATCACTGAAGGCTGTCAGGCAGACTGTATATAACTGGCACATCTTTACATGTGCGGTTAAGTTCATTTTACCAGCCCTCCTAGAACTCTGACCACTTACGATCGTCTCCACGTGCGAGTTCGGCCTCATCTCTTTAACCGTGCTGCCGGAGTTGCCGTCTATACAAGAGCGAGCCCCGTAGATCACCGCGATGGGGATGTCGTCTCGGATCAGGCCGACCCGTTGCAACATGGGCCGCTTGGCCCACCCATATGGGACGGTCATGTTCTTGAAGGCCGTTTCTCCGCTACGAAAAAGACAGAACCACATTTCAACTCACAGCAGCATGCTCACATGCATTACGGAAAGAATAACAGGTTCCCTCTCAACAACACAAACGACTTCCCCAAAACAGCTCAAGTGTTCTTGAACACAATATCCAGAAACTACTTTCCTTTTATCAATGACCACCATGCCACACGTGCTATGTAACAAGTCTGTTGCAAACTAAAAACTTCAGGCTTTTAGATTACTTTCCCAAACACTTAAAGCAAACACTACTAACTACTGAGAGAGACATCCTCATATACAGCCCACTTGACCCATATGAAAATGTGTAGTGAATGATTAGTCTTTGAAGCTCTATTAGGCGCACTCTAGTGGCAAGCCAATGGAAATGCATTCACACACTAACCCATGACGTGCTAAGGTCACTTCTAACAAGCATAACACAGCATAACAGAATTTCACTTTCACTGATGAGAACGTGTTAAAAAATTGAAGGAGCAGGAATCATAAGACGACAGCTTTCCTTCACTTCAATTCTGGCAACATTCAAAGATCAATTTCTGCAAATCAGAAAATCCCGATGACACCGAGAATAAAGGGCACCTTGAATGTTTGTGTCCTTGAATGCATTTTATTTACATCTACTGAAGTACACGAGTACTTCATTCTTTATACACGAGTCCTAGTTCATTTCTTCATAAAAAGGAACTGATTTTGCTCAGGTATCACTTAAGAACCGCAACAAAGTGGAGCAGAAAAACTCACCTAGGAGTCTGAACGTTACAGTGATAAATATATTCTGTCACTGTGTTGTCATCAAACAAGGAGGCGTATTTCCTTTTGAAGTCCGGTCTCAGTCTCTGAACCAGCATCGGACCTGATTAGAAACCAGCAACACACACAAGTGAGAAGACTTCCAGCAGGGTTTCAAAATGTGTAAACATTTTAACGTTTAACGTTTTAATCCTTACTGACCTAGGATCCAGTCTGCAGATTGAGCACAGAAAAAATCCAAGAATAATAATAATAATAATAATAATAATAATAATAATATCTGTGGCTTTACTTTTGGTCTTGATCTTCTGCATTTTTATTTCTTGCATGTGATTTGATTTTTTTTAAATGACCATAAACCTCTCTGACTGATCAATTGCAAATTAAACAAGAATACTCATTGTCGTTTAAACCGGATGAAAGAGTGCTCTTAAATTTGTGGATACATTACCTGATAGCAGGAAGGACAAAAACGAAAGAAGGAAACTGTGATTAGATAAGAGGAGGGGCTATGGACACTGGACATACCACACACATTAGTCTTAAATTCTTTAGTCCTAAAAACTTTAGTCCTAAATTCATGTAATTGTCGGTCTTGATAATCATGGAGGCAGAGAGAGACAGTGCAGGCATCCACTAGATGCAAAGGAGGGATTCATGTTGTTTAGCTGATCAATTTTATTTTAAATGCCTTCAAGCCAATGTGTTGGTAGTTTAATTATACTTGTGTCTTGCCACCACGCATACTATATGCCGAAGTGTTCTGTGCCACGGTATACTGGTGGGCCTGGAAACGTGAATTTATCTGCAGCAGTTCCCTGTACCCAACCCTCGTGGGTAAACAGGAAAGACACTCTTCACCAAACCACCACTCACCCAAAGGGCCTGCCAGCCTAAGCCCCGCCAGTGGGTTAAAGGGGCTCAGCATTGCTCCCAGTGCTTTGATCCAGACTGGAATCGGCCTGTCCTGCTCGGGACTGTTAGGCCTCTCGGGAAACCCCCACGGCTCCACCAGTATCAGGTGCTTTACCCTGAAAGACAGCACAACTGCCACCCTCAGCCCAGTGCCCTCCAGGTTCATCCGTACCCCCCAAGACATAAGAACACAAATATCAGAGAACGACTGAATAATGGACTAGTTTCCTGATTGCAATAAAAAACAAGAAACTGTATCGTAATCATAATAGAATTGCAGAGAGTAAATGTACATTTTTAATAAAAAACTGAATTCAGGAGAGCAGGAAGGGTTACATTTATTCACTCCTCTAAGTAGTCTTTAAATTACATAATAAAATCAAAATTTACAGTAACATTTAACTCTTTGGATGTGCAATGGAACCAAAAAAATGCAGCCAACAGTTTCCCGGGGCAATGAAAGGAGGTGACGCACAGAAGGCATTCAGTAACCATATCTTTATAGTCCAGCTCAGACAGCACTCTGACAACCGCCGGTGAACTGTGCCCCAAAGGTCAAAAAGATCAATCTACCACTTATTATTTCATATTATGCTCTTTATACAAGGATTGAGTTCCTATTTTATTAAGGGTATGAATATATCCTGAGGGCACTAAATTTAATCAGCACAACAATAGCCATGAAAGCAATATTTGCACAAAACACTTTTATGCATGTAGCAGGTGATCCCACTACAGTTTAAATTTACATTTTTTAAAACCAAGAGGTGATTGAAAGCATACAAAAGAACCTAGACCTACTCAATGTCCAGACAAGACATGGTGAACGATCAGTTTATCTTTCCACAGTATGATATCATGTGAATGTTTCTGTGAAGGACTGTTTGGTCATCCTTCAAAAGCAAAACTGCAGTAAAAGGCCGAAACTCCAGAGCAACAGTGTTACTCCAGAAATTAAACCTCATTAAGATGCCAGTGCTCTACAGACAATACTCTTCCTGTTCTCAATTAGTGACCATTAACTAGTAGGAAAACGCAGAGCTTGTTTTCCCTACTTAAACCTCAATAGCCATGAAAGCATTTCAAATTCGTAAATGTCATTAATCCGTTAAATTAAAAAAAAGTTAATAATGCACATGTTTGCCCCAGAGATATAAAAGTTTCTAGCGGGAAACTGATTACGTCATCCATCATTTCTCACAACACTGTTCTTGGGGAGATGGAAAAGATTTCCACACACCAGAATAAGGTTGTTATTAAGTGCTAATTCTGCGGTTATGTTTGGTCCTCTGTTTAAAACACAAGACACTAGTCAGTAAAGTCTACGACATGTACTTACACACAAGACTTATTAAAAAAAAAAAGTTAAATTTTAAATCTTAAAAATCAACAGCAGAGGAGATGACATCAGGTTTACTTCAGCCCATCCCATTAAACAAGCAGGTACTGAGATGTGTTTTACTGGGCAAGGGGTAAACCAATGTCATCACACTTTGAAAACAAGGTAGAAAACGGTATTGATTAGAAGGAAAAAGGAACGGAATGTTTCCACCTTGTGGCAGAATTCATGATTCGGGTCTTTTTTTTTGTGTTACTCCTGACATTAATTTGACCTCTTGATGCAAAGTCTAATTTTTACTTTACTGCTTACTTTCCTACAACAAGTTGGGAACAAATGACATAGGAAAAACAAAACAAACTTCACCATACCTGTTTATTCAAGGTTATTAATTAATTTTTATGATTTTGCGCAACTATGCATTCGAAAACTGAAATGTTTGTCTGACTGCCTGGTGGGTGGTGAACAGTGTGGAACATGCCTGTGTCCTGTGCCCATCCAGACATGTAAACCGCACAGCTAGTTTCTGTCCTTTTACTCTCAGTGACGCTTTCAAACGCCACAAACGAGTCTCCTAAGCAGCATTACAAAGTATTTTGTCCTTATTTAGGTTTATAGGTGATTATGATTTCCTGAATGTTTCAATTACTTTATTTATACCAGAGGAATTAATGATTTTTAAAAAATTTAACGAAGAATTTGTTTTTTAAATATTTTGAATTGACAAATTCTTCGCAATTTTCATTTTTCACACAATACTTTAATTTATAATTTTATTGATTCCGTTTTACATTTGATACAAGACAAGTTTGAGGACTAAGACCAAGACATCTTCAGGACTGATCTACAAGCATGAGACGATGGGACACGAAAGAAGCAGGCAGAGACGTTCAAGCTCCTCTCTTCGTCTCTGGGCAGACTGCGCTGTGCACCGGCTCAAACACTCTGACAATTTCCCTATTGCTGGCTTCTCCAAAGCACGTTAAAGGGAAAAGTACTTTGTTCAAATCAGTTGTAGTATATACGTTATTGAAACACATTAAACCAAAACCATGCAAATTGAAAACTACCTGAATCTGCATATCGCTGCCATCTAGTGGGCCGATATAAAAATAAATCAAATTGGCCATCGTGCACAATCTGGTGCGAAAAATGTCGATTTGGACAGTGATAATGTATTGACCACGCATTCAAGAACTATCAGATTATCACAAATTACTGACAGTTCTGACCATGTGGTATTATCAGACGCCATGTAAAGTACACAACAGAATATTTAAAAAAAGAAACCTTTGGTTACAAACGCGTTAACAGATAGATTTACCTGTAGTGCTTGATCTGTGCCGCTGCAAAGAATTTCACATTTCGCAAAAAAGGCAGAAATGCTTAGAATGAAATCCCAACTGAGTTCAGATAAAGTCAAGAGCTTGAGGTGGGTTAAGAAGATGAAACGGGTACATGAATTATGTAAAAAAACGGCAATATGAGACGCAGCAGTACAGCGAGGATTAGTGCAGACTCACTGACAGCAGTATACTAACCTTGATGGGTATCTCAGTGTATAAGCAGCTGCCAAATATCCGCCAAGATTGTGTCCCAGCAAAATCACTGTCTCCACACCCACCTTTGCCCTCCACTCCTCTATCGAGTCCACAAACTGGTTTTCCGCCTCCTCTGCATCGCTGCTGAATTCCGGCCGACTGCTCCTCCCAAAGCCCAGCAGATCGAAAGCATAGACAGTGCGCTGCTGGCACAGAGCGTCCAGGTTCAGCACCCACAACCCCACACCTCCTCCAAACCCGTGGATGAGAACGAGGGGGGTCTTCTCAGGGACGCCCTCGTTGAACGCAAGGGTCCACACAACGTTCCCATTGGATATCGAAACATACTGTTTCACGAACTTGCTTGTAATCGCTGCGGGGGAAGGAAATGGAGAAATCGAACTTAGTCCCCGAGGAGTGGGGGAAGTTAGTAAAAAAGGCAAAGTATTGTTGTAGCATGGAAATCAGTACAGCCACACCTCAACTGTTTCAGTGCACCTTCTGATGAAATTATTTGGGAAATGTTTTGCTATGGAACAACCTGGGTGCTCGACATTCAAATTTCCCCATCATTAGAAACAATGCAATTTAATCGGAAGTCCACTCTCCAGCACTTACTCATTTCTGTTTACTGCGGGATTGAGTGATGGTTCACAACTACTGTATATCTGGCCATGTGCATGGAAAGAGCTTGTGAAATTGTCCCACTTTAGGATGCAATCTGTGTAAAAGAACACTACAGAAAACCTGACTTTTCAGACATCTTATGAAACATCAATTTTTATGCACAGGAAGGGATTTTTGTCACTGCTGCTGGTCTGATAGTTTCTACATCTAAAACAATCACTTGGGCAATGGATCTACAGCAGAACTGATTTCAAGAGTAACAGTGTTCATGTTTCAGTTCTATCAGGATGTCGTTTTGGGTTTGGAGAAGGAAAGGGGAAAAAGGCAGGAAACAAGAGCAGAGCCTTACATTGTAGCATCTTATCTTCTGCATCCTTGAGATGTGACAATGACGTTGGGCACCAAGACGGCAGCCAGCTGGTAATCCACCAGGACCTGGAACACAAAGCTCCGATAAAGTGGATGAAAAGAAAAAGAAAGACCTAGCTCACGGACAAAGAGCTGCATTCTTTGGTTGGCATTTAGCACATTTCTCGCTTGCAAGGATCTATAATCCATTTACTCTAATATTAACTAGAAAAAACAGCATTATAACTCGAGAAGCGACTGGTGCATGCATACAGCAACTCCTTTGGTCAGCCATCATGTACAGTAACTGCTTGGGAAAGGCAGAACTGGAACAGTATGGCGATCTGGGAATCTCAAGAGACTTCTGCACAGAAGAGAGTGCTTCCTTAGCTGAACAAATTAAACATTTTTTAGATATATAACCAATGCAGGACCATCCCACTCAACCGATTTAGATAAACACACAAGGAAAGATTTTCATTTCTATAATAGATACCCTACCTCCCAGGGTCAGCAGTACTACAGGTGCTGTTCTAGTGACATACAAGCAGGTGTACAATTGCTTGGCTCCATATGTACTACACAATATCAATGGAAATTATTGTTCTGATCAGCAGGCTTAAGACATCTGTATAACAGCAATTCAGGTAACGATCACACTGTGCCTCATAACTGTAAATTCAAAACGTTGTGATAGAGCATGACAGCCTTTGACCAACAATGAGTCTCACATTTTGCTGTCTGCACGTGGAAGCTCTCTGTTACTGTAATGAGCAAATATACTGCATGTTTTCCTGTACGAGCCTATGTTGTGGCCGTGACAAAAAGTACATTTTATCATAAAAGTGACAAGAAAATTGTCATAACATAGGCCAGCCGATGAATTGGACACTCCTATTCAAAGCTCAAATTCAATGCACTCCTACTGCAACATGAAATGAAGCAAAGATTCAGACCACAAGGGATTGAGAAGCCATGTAAATTTGCCTAAATGCACAGTAACCCTGAATAGTAGCAGTTCTTTCCTGGAAAAGTAGATCATTCTGTTCCAGTTTTATCTATAGTACACAGAAAAGCACGACAGGGAGGGATCATGTGTGTAGTGGCGATTACATAATCTTCTTTTAGACTACATGAGAGGAAATTTGAAGGTGGTTTTTAAATTGTTTCCAGTTAAGAAAAAAAAAGTAACATCTGATGAAGCAGACTTCCAAAGAAGAAAACCTTAAAACAAACATTTTCCAGAAAGCTATTAGCATTCATACCAGAATTAAATTAAATACAAACCTCAGGTTAACTTCAAACCAGCTGTACCTCTTTGGATACGAACAATAAGCCACCACCAAATACTGGGGTTTTAACGTGTCTGCTGAGCTGACTGAAGCTTTATTTTACTCCAGACTTCAGCTCCATAAAAGAGATGGGAGTTACTTCCTTTTTGCAACTCGAAAGGAAGTGCTGGGGGGGGGGGAGGATGTGAACAACTTTATCTGATAATACTTAATAGGATCAAATCCAATGTTTTCTGATTGTGTTTTCAAAGTTTTGGGAAAAGGTTTCTCGTTCTTAGCTGTGGTCTAAAGTACACTGAAATGCAATCACACCTTCTATTGAAGTCCTAAGAGACAAACGCATTAAAAATATCAGAACAAAATCATGAAGCAGCTGAGCCCACCAGAACAATTTCCCTCATTTGTTCTAAAAGTAACCTGAAACAGGCTGTGTTCTAATGTAGCAGTGGTGTCTCATTAACCCCGGAGGGGGAACTTCAAGTCACTTCATTTTATATCCGCAAAGCTGGAACCGTCTTGTATGAAGGCCAAAATGTAAAACTAGCAGACATTCAAAACTGGTTTCAATAGGTTGCAAATGAATTTGAAAGGCTAACGAGAGACTTTTAATAAGGTCTGAAACCCTTGCTCCAGTCTATAGATTTTGCATTTTAAAGTGGAAGGAGTTTTCCTTTTTTCTACAAAGTCAATTCTTTCCATTCATCGGCGATGGTAACATATCATCTAAATTGCGATGACCTATTTTTTATTTTACCGTTTTATTCTCAGAAAGGAGTCTCATCTAGTACCTGATACTTCCAACAGATGACATGAGGCGGCGCGTATTGATTTTTCTTTTTCGATCAATCACACCAGACGTGCCGAGACAGGCAGGAGATTACCTGCTGCCTCCGCAGTCAATCCTGCCTCCAGACAGGGCTGGCAGGAGATGCCAGTGTCTCCAGCAGGGCTTGTCCTTATCCAAGCTAATTTTATTATGCAACGGGACAAGAAAAGGTTAATGCCACTCTGAAAGTCAGAAAGATGAAACCAGCGTTTCTGAAAGGTTGTGCTCCCTCTTTGTACGTTTCAGAGTCGAATTAATCTTTACTTGGTCTTTTGCAGACAGGGCATGCCGACGCCGAGAGCAGCTCCCCTCGCAGACCCCTGTGCCTAATTTGATTAGGAGTTTGGCTGTTATTTCTACCCAAAGCGGCTCTCTCCCCTTTCCCCCTGGAAGTCACGGAAAACACGCTCACAAACATGCAAAATATGCATCTGAAATGGGGAACAGGAGGCACATTCTTCACACAAAGAGCTGTGTAAGTCTGCAACAAGCTGCTGTGTTCTAGTCAAGAAGAAGAGAAGGACAAGGTATCACCACCTTAGTGCAAGACACTGTATGACAAGAGTAGGAGCAGCTGTGAGAGAACCAAAGCACCGTGGTTCAAATCGAACTATCGCTATAAAAACCATGAAGAATTTGTTGTTTGTACGAGGTAATATCAGTTGCTTAATCTTTGCATCTTTATACGGTTACATCTCAAAATTTGGGCCCACTATTGTATCTCAAGGGGTTAAAACATATTGGCATTTGACCAAAGAGCAAGGCTGGGGGTAGGGGAATGTGCTCATTACGCAGAATTAGTCTGTCCAGCACCGCGACTCGGCCCGAGCTCCGTTTCACTGCATTCCACAATCACTTTCCTAACACGCTAAGGGACAACAAAAAAGGCAACAGATGAGTACTGCAACAGCAATTTGCTGCATTTTCCTCTCACTAAATTTAAATATATACAGCACAGAGGAAACAAAATAATAAGAATCCACTTTTCTTACGCACCACTGAGAGCATAAAACATGTTTTATGCAACTTTCCTCTCTCCCCATTTTATGTTACTTTTGATAATTTAGTAAATCAACAGGTGTTCTTTCAAATTTCTCCTGAACATTTTTTTGAAAACGAAACAGATAGGCAGACAGTAAGATATATCATTATCTTATCTTATCTTTAGGAATATTAGGATAATTATGTGATTCATACAGGGACAATTTACTACCGATCACCTGAGTGTCACACAAAACGCATGCGTAACACCTTGAAGAAAAAGCAAAGTCCAATCAAAATAATTACCACACCACACACGATTGGACTTTGGTCAATGAGTCACAGAATAAAAAAGACTCAAATTCCACGCCTGTATTCGCATGACAATCCAGGCCAATAAACACTAGATTGCTTAACATTAGTGAGGTAATCAACTCCAATTGCTTGATATGTCAGCTGAACAGAATCCAGGTTAAAAGTGATATAGTAAAAATATTGTGCAGAGTGCCTTAAATAACATAAATCCCCTTTGACAAGCTAATAGTCTTAAAAATTAGAAATTTAGCATTAACAATTAAGATGTTCAAAACTAATTTGAAACATAAAAACTGTCCCAGTGTCTCTGGTCTCTTTATTGAAAAGTTAATAGGTAATGGACATCTTGCTTTTTCTCATTAAAGAATTAGTCCAAATTATGTTTTGGCTCAGTTGTGGTCTCCAATTTCACTGCAACATATTTAAAAAATGAAACAAATACCTTAGGTTATCCTATCCTTAGTTCCAGAACTAAAATTATGTTATTTAAGATTCCCCAGGGCCTCTGAAAGAAAATACTAAGAACATAATCCTTCTGAGGGGGAATAGTGAATTCAGTTTCACTTACAAGGATTTGCCAATACTATCAAACAGCAACACATCTGACATTGAAATCCAAGAGTTGTACTTCTCGCTCTCGCTTGTTGTGACACTGAGAGTGTAACAAAGGTGCAAGCCGTCAGCTGGGGATGTACAGGGGTAACGCACTCGCCACCACTCAGAAGAATGAGGTCCCAGCGCTCACATCATGGCAACCATGACCTACATTCCGAAACAGAAGTGCAAAGCTTCACGATAACCAGAGTCCTACTTACTGCCATTCTTTCCCAATCAATGCCGTTATGAAAAAGGATCTGCCACGTTAAAATATATTCAGAAAATGCTAATGAAGTGCTACTGTACGTTATACCTCAGAAAGATGTCGATTGCCTTCAGGAATTCACATGTGTTTTAAAGAATGTGAATTCTTAAGAACTCTCAGAGATGACAAGAAACCAATCACCCCAACTACAGTCAGCACAGATCTCTGCGACTCCACACACTGTACGTCCTAAGCTGCACCTAGCTATTTTGAGTTGTTTATGAAAACAGATTGCAGGATAAAATATCTAAAAAAAAGGAATCAGTAATGCGGAAAGTAATTTTAATTTCAAGGTCTCAAGCTGTTTTCTAGCTTGTTTAATAAGAGAGTAAGCAAAGCTAAGTAAGACGAGGAACTATCTCTGTTCTTTCTTATCTACACACGGCTAGAGACGATATGCTGAGGAAGAGCTGAAACTTTGTATTTTACCCTTTACTTTTCGGCGTGGAATTAACTTCTTGTTCCCTTACAACTCTCAGCTCCCCACTCTCACCTCTTCATTGGTAAGGTGATCAAATCCATATCAATTGCTGGAGGTGATACAGTGTGAGCAGCTGCTTAAATGGCAGACAGTGAGACAGTATGCAGGGCAGACACTGATAACAGGTGCTATAGGGATAAATCACAGAAAGCTTTTGATTCATAGTAGTCAAGTACACTGCACGTGTTCAGGAAGTGGTTCTTCAGAAGACATTTCTGGGGGTTACAGGACCAGCTGCATGGTTTGTTTAACAGCACATGTAATTTCTAAATATTTTATGACAAAACATGTATTTAAAAATACATCTTCCTGCCATACCTTGTGGCTGTGCAAATAAGCCATAAAACAAAAAGTGCTTCCTTTTTTTAGTTTTGCTTTTGACTCCATCTATTCCCCATTCAGATCAGTCTAAAGTGGAGACCATGGTGTAAAACCCTACTGTCACAGGCCTTTGTTGGCTCTTCTGGAACCTTCCAGGTAAATGTTTGTCCCATAAAACTGCTGGGTCTTTTCAAAAGGGAAGCAATTGAGTTTCTAAATCAACTGCCGTCAGACCCTTCACCTTGGAACAGAAATGCAGAGGCTCGGAGCAAAACAACATTGATTATCGCTCAAAACCTCAGAGAGGTATGTTTACTTTGCACTGTCTTGTTGCAGTCCAGTGACCTGTGACTAATTGATTCTTGCCTATTTATCGTGTCTTCCTCAAATAGTTCTGAACAGCAGGATGTCCCTCATAAAGATTTTGATACAATGCAGCAGACATTTCTAACAGATTTTTCACTTGAGTGTAATCTATGTATTGAAAGTACAGATGGTCACAGGAAGGGAAAACACAAACACAACTGCCGTTTAGGTAAGCTCTTCAACACACATTAACCTCTTCACCTCACTGTGCCTTCACATTAAAACAACAGACTGTTCATAACACATGCTTTACCCACATACATTACAATACCTTAACAACAGTGCAAGAAGCTCTTGAGATTTCTTTAACAATGCAGTGAAATTGCCACTTTCCAAACGTGGGACACAAACAGAAGTGACAGGAGAGAAAAGGCTCATTTTCAACCTGACTGATGCAAACTGTCTGTACTTTTATAAAAGTGCAACTCTTTTTCCACACATGACATAAATCAATTAAAGTGAATGAGCAACTTTAAAAAAGAGGTTGCACACTAAACCTGTGTGTGTTACTCTGCCATAATAAGATGGCAATGGCAGTGAACTGAACCCACAGTAAAGAGAGAAGCCTATATCTACTAAAGAACTGAATATCAAATTGGGTTCCATGGGCAGTTAAGGTTGAGTGATAAGCCAGTTTAACTGATTGTTTTTTTTTCTCTCAGTCGATTAATGTAAAGTGGTTTGTGAATTTAATTATAAATGGCAGCAATCGCTGTGCCATGAGATATAAACCTTGTCTTGATATAATGTCACGCTGTGAAATGGCCAGGCAGAGTTTGTCACAATGAATGCAGTCAGTTATTCTCTTTATTAGTAGTATTAATCACAAGCCAGAAATCATGCAATACGGTAGGTGAGTTTGTTACCTTGAGGTAGATTCCAGGAACCTCAAGAATTTGTAGTACAGAATATGAATACCAAGATTCATCACAACTCGATGGGCAGTTCTGAAGTAAAAGAAAAAGATGTCTTTCATTCATTTGAACACAATATTGTGCCCTGAATTTTGTCACTGTTAAAGACGAATCCCAGTACAACATTTATGTAGATTTTTTATGCCCGGTGAACTTGTCATACATTTTATATTCACATGATAACACCTTTTTACCTACAAGTGCTCGCAAACACAAGAGGAATGAGCCTCTTATTCTGCTTGTGCAGTACTATTCTGCACTTGATGGCCAACAGCATGGGACACACACAGGTAAAGAACACAAACTGAGACTGTGGGGGAACACGAATTTCAGCCATGTGTTTGGGATTTCAAGACAGAAGCACAGTTACTATCAGCATCTGTGCAACATATTAAGAATCTCAACTATTAAACAACTGAAGGCCAGGAGTAGTTAACCCTAACCCTGGGGAGCCACTTAACATCAGATGTATATGGATTACCCTTAAATCACCAATTTCTGAGATCTTGGGTCAATTTTCTTGTTAACCCTTACATCACATTCTGCAAGTAAATGATTAAATGAAGGAGTTTAGCATGGAGCAGAAAATGAAAATGCCATCATCATGAAGCTCTGAAGGATCAGAATTGGCAACTCTTGGTTTAACTGAATTCATTCACTTACAACATCAAGACTCACACATCCCTAATCTTTCCAAAGGGAGCTGTGCTGGACTCTTGAATGTGATGTCAGGTAGTTGACATTTTTAAGAATGACTTGTGCACAGCAGGGAATGCAGACACTGTTCGTGAAAACACTGCATTGATTTCAAAACAACAAAAACCTTCTGGTGATCTTATAACTGCAGATATAGTATTCTGCTGCTTCCCCTCAAGACAGGAAAGCAAACACAGTGAAAAGTCCTGATTTTGTGTTGCACTTTTCGTATCATTTTTCTCACAAATTACACTCAACCGTTAAAGATCCTCTAATTCCAAGAAAACACAGCAAATAAATGCAGGCACGTGTGTCCCCCTTGAACCATTCAATAATTGCAATAAAGGATTTTTAATGCTTTTGAAAATGTGTAGTGTAACGCTGTAACTATAACTTGACCTAACCCAGTATGGCCAGTATATATCCAATTAATTAACGGTTACAAATGCACTAAAACGTAGCTACTTATACAGTTACTTACATTGTAACCTGCCATACATAAACCTGAATATAATGTAATTCACAAGTATTTAACTACAGACTCTCTCAGATGAATTTAACCAGTTAATACTCCTGACTTCTATTTAAAATCATCCACAGTGGAATTTATACACTACTCACACCTGCTTGCAGTGTAAAAGAAAAACGCCCCAACATGAAGTCCCTTTTACTCCAACAGCTAATTTGCAGAGCAGTAGTACTAACACTTCATGATTTCCAAAACTTTGTACAGCTACTTCATTTTCTGAACGGGGCTGAGACAAGATCAAAATAAATGTGTTGAATGAAGCGTGTGGTGTCTTCCAAAAGTATGTTTCCAAACATGTGACCGATCGACAGTCCAGCAATCTGTACCTGTGATAGTGAGGCAGGTCCAGAGATAGCCACTCACTACCTACCCAGGCCGGGACATTCCCCGATCCTCACGCCCGAATCCGATTGGATGAACAGACACACGCATGGCCACCTCTGGAAGTGCCTCTCGACTGTGTTAAGGAAGTAACGCTGGCAGTAGCACTGTTTTCTGCAGCCTACGAAACATTGTCTGCTTACGTAGCGAAAAAGTTTCCATTCCAGGGGATAGCACTTCACCAGGCGGTTTCATAACGTCCCAAAACATATGGTCAACAACCAAGGCAGAGCTCAGTGGGTTGCAGACTCCATGTAGTTATTCCCTCAACATCATACTGCCTTTTCCACTCTGAAGTCTACCCACAGGGATTGTGCCCTAATGCTTCGGATCACTGATACTGGGATTTGCTGTCCCAGTATTTTTTTATGAGATTCTGATATGGAAAAGGGCAATACCATATGTCATTTTAATTAGGCACTGATTTCAAAAATTAGGTGCAGTCGACTTCATGTTCTGAAAAAAATGATTTTTTCCAATTAACTTTGTGCAAATGTGACTGAAATATACAACGGGGGTCTCTATCATGACTGTATAATGTGATTGGGCTACAACGTCGCACAACACTACAGGAAATGTAATTTTTGAAAGCACTGACCACAGCATTTGGTAAAAAGTGACTACTTAACCTCATACAACTAGCAGCTGTGTGGGTCTGTGCAGGAAACGTGTTTGGTAACAGCGGGCGGCTGCTGTGAGCTCTTGCTTAATTTCCAGGCTCTAATGCAGCCCAGCAGGCGAACTTCACAAAGCCAGACACGGAGAGCCCGTTCCGATACCACGACCTATGATCCTGTTCAATATGCCTCTCTTGAATACAGACATTAAAACAGCATATAAACGGTCAGTAGTGTCACCCATCACTTAGTTCAGACATCAGTGCAACTGGCAGAGTAGGGACACACACATACCGCATCAGGCTAGTAACACAGCAGCGGGTGAATACAAACCGCAAGTAAACATGCACCCAGTTAGCTCCACTTCTCGTTAGTCAAAGCATTGATACACTGACACGTGAAGATGTACAGTAAGTTTGCTGCTGTTATTGCACGCTGTCAAGTTTCACAACCCAAGGTCCCGGAGATGAACAGTCTCAATACGCATCACAGAAGCGGCAAGCGATTCGACATCCCAAACAGTTCTCGCTTTCACCCGCTGTTGGTTAAGTTCGAGATTCTGAAACACCCGAAAGGGCCATCGCACTCAAAAGTGAAGGCTCCCGAATTGTTAACCAAAATAAACACACCGCACTCACCCTCTCTCCACTGACATCGCCTCTTCGGCCATCTTTCCCAGCGCCGACCTGCAGTGACGTCACCTCACCGCGTCACAGCGGGGGGCGGGGCCAGGGAGGGGGCGGGGGCGGCGCGTACGCTCTCCGGGAGAGCAGGCGAGGGGTGACCTGCCATCGAGCCGGGCGTCTTTCGTGCGGTTGGGCGGGACGCTCCCCAGCCTGGCCCTCCTTCCCCATCAGAGCAATGCAGACTCAGCACAGAAGCAGGATGATCACGCAGCCTTGTCTTCCGTGCTTGCGGAAGCGGGAGGACCCGCTGGGACCGCCCCTCACAGGGGTGTACGTGAATAAACATAAGCATTGGTTTGTTTGTTTTTTCCCTTTTTTAAAAAAAAATTTTTATTGCAATAACAAACGAAACAAGAAAAATACACACAACACAAGCCAGAGTACATATAAAGATCATCAGGGGTACTCAACACAGGTGCATTGTGCGAAAAAAAGAAAAGACGAGTTGAGGTAAATCAAGATGGGGCGCGCCCAGCCTTCACGTTCCTGCGTTTAGAAAGCGTGAGGCCAGTGAAGGCCAGGGACCTAGATGTCTGCCTCAGGTTTCTCGTTCCATTTTCAATGCTGCTGCAGTGATGTTATGTCGCCTTTCGCCAGTACATGACTCTTTTCGGTCAGTACTAATCCGGTTGGAATACTGTAGTATTCAGTGAAAGGGAATATCCAAATAAATAGTGACTGTCCTGTCCAAATTGCATCTTTGTATGGAATATAGTTGTAGTTCAGGAAATCGCGCAAACCAGTTTTAAAAACTCACAATAACACGAACTTGCACTAAGAACAGGTGATTGCACTTTCTGCTTATTACTATGAGTGATTTTATCTCTCTTACCTTAGTGTCTGAATATTGAGATGTTTTGGTGATGAGGAAAGAGGGACAAAGCAAATAAGCAGAAGATGTGCTATTTTGTTGATTATAAATCCTCACATGCCATGTTCACAGGCTCATATTAAAAATTCAGTGAAATTCCCTGAAGTTCAGGATTTTGAAAGTCAGTTACATTGTCTCTCACACCTTGGTGTCAGCATTGTGACGAGTTTATAATCAGGAGGGAGGGCCACAGCAAGACACCAGAAAGTGCAATCACCATTTGCCCATCCATTCTCTCATGTTCAGAGGGTCTTATTTAAAAAACGGAACAGTAACATTTCCTGAAGTTCAGGATTTTGAATGTCTGTTCCATTGTTTCTCACATCTGAGTTTCAGAATTTGGAGACGTGTTTATAACCAGGAGGTAGGTTCATAGCAATAAGCAGAAAGTGCGATCCCCCTTTGCTCGTCCTGGGTTAACTGTATATTCTCATATGCCATGTTCTAAATATCCCATTTAAAACGGCCATATTCAGATTTCTTGTAAAATGCAAGATTTTGAGACTGATAATGATCAGAAGGCAAGGTCGTGGTAAATATGCAGAAAGTGACAGTGAATTCACGTTTTGCCTTTGCCTTATTAACTCGTTGTCAAACACGCCAGTTTGTGTTATTGTGAGTTTTGAACGTTGGTTTTCGATTTTCTGAAATGTGTTTCACACAAAAATGCAATTTGGACAGTCACTGTTTACTTACATATTGCCCTTTACTGAGGATATGTACAGTAGTCCATCCGGATTAGTATTTAAAAATGACCGAAGAGAGCCATCTACAGGCGAAAGGCGGCATAACGTCACTGCAGCAGCATTTAAGGTGGAACAACTCTCAGCGCCGCAGAATGGACAGAACGGACAAGTGCACTTAAATATACAGGACAAAGGCAGTGACCAGGTCCCACATGGTCTTTGTAGCTATATATGGGTTCAAAGGGGGGGAGTATATTCTGTGTATAGTACAGTATCCAAAGTACTGTATACTTTATATATTAATATGAAATAATATGAAACGTTTATCCCCAGATGGAAAATAGGAACAGAAAATCCGGTTACATTGGCAGTGGGATCCTTGTCTGCAGGCTGCTCTAGGTTTAGAACGCAGTATGTTTATTTACTAAACACAGAAGAACTAGGAACACACAAAATACTACCCCACTATACCGTTCCCTACAACCCTACTGTAGAGTCGGTGCTAATTATGCATAATGAGCATTTATGTCATTAGCCTCCGCTGAAATTGTGAAAACGATGTTTTTTGCAGGTTTTGTTTCAGAAATAGAGTATAATGTGTTGGTAAAACTGATGGAAAAAGTCAGATTGAAATAAAAAAAATCTAGTTTTACATTTATAGAAATATTTTGGCTTCAGAATATTACTTCTCTGCTCCATGATTGAGAACAAACATTTCTTAAAATTGTTATACACTGCTCACTGCCAATGGCTACCTTAACACTGCAATACAGCTACGGAGATTTCAATAAATCACTGTTCACCCAGACCACAAAAACATGTCTTGTGAGCGGGCATTACATCTAGATAAATCCATTGAGCAACGTATTTCCAGTTATGAAATAATGTCGATGTTTCAGACCCGTTTTACAACAACACCCTCACATGACTGCAGGATGAGCCAGGGCAGGCGGTCTGGACTTTTTAAAGAGAGAAATTGACTCTTTAACCGAAGAAGAAACAAAAACTCTCCCAACACAGGAATGCAAGGTAAAGAAGAAGATCACATGATGTTATTTTTGCTATACTTGTAAACTGCAGGCATTATTTTTCTTTTTTATTACAAAAAAAAAACCGAAATAAAATGTGTACAACTTTCCAGGACAGACTCTTAAACCAGCTTCAGTTCTTGGCAGGTAGATAAAGTTGTCTTAGTCCAGTCTTGCCAGAAAATATGCAAACCCAGTTCATCTTTCACAAACATGAACAATCCTCTTTAAAACGCTTTTAGAACGAATTCCTGACCCCCAAACAGAGCCAGCGTTGGCCCGCCTTATTATTCACATACGGGGACATTACTCTGCAACCACCTTCAGCACGTTTTCGGAAAGGAAGTCACTAGCGTGTCAACTGCGGTGCAGGATTTCCCTCCGAGCTGCTGAGCTGCTGAGCTGCGGTCCGGGCGCTGCAGGCAGGCTGGGTGGATGTGTGTGTGTGTGAGTGACTGGACCAGCTCTTCTGCTGCGCCTCCGCCCGGCTCGGCGCACGGTGACGTGGAGAAGCAGCAGGGCGCACCACCAAGCAGAGCTCGGTAAGAGCCGAGCACAACAGCCGGGAAGTAGCCCGTCCGTCTCATTGTAACAAACACTGATACAGTGGTCACATTTTATTACTCTGTAATCATTTCCTTATCGCAGACCTGGAAGAAAAATCTGGGAACGGGTAAGTCTTCTCAAGCAATGACAGCTGACATTTACTCAAACACGGGGCCTACGTCTCGACATTGAGTGTTTACGTGCTATAATGGGGTCAGGACGCAAAGAAGGTTTGTGGCTGTCAGTAACTATCTAGGCTTGATATCTTCTGAATGTTTTACACATATGTGTCTCTACGGCAAGTTATAAGGTACAATTTAGGAAAACTCCGCCCTGAAACAAGTCCATGCAGTTACTAGCAGCAGATTCGGGTATCTTGCATGTCCCCCGTATTGTGAGTTGATTAATAAACAGCGCTTTGTATAATATTGAATTATTAAAATATAATGTTTGGTCTCAATTTAAAATATCAAGATGTAAAGGCATGACAGTCTTCATTTGAAACTACACTGAGAGTTTCACGCAGTTTATTTCTTCAGTGCTTATTTTTATTTGGAGAATTGTGATAAGCATAACCTCGGTTACTAATCTAGTTTTAGATCGAGAGTTGTTGATATATTTCATTTCACATATAAACGCAAAGAAGCCTTTTTATTGCACAAAGACATAGAACAAAACATAATGTACTGAATATGATATGAACAGTGTTGCACTAGGAAAAGGCTTTAAGTGTATCTTTTTTCAAAATTCAGGTTCCAATTGTTACTTAATTTTGAGGATCAGTAAATTAAAAAATCAATGGCCCTGTTTTTAAACGGCTAACTAGGGAAAGAGCAGTCTAAAATTCAATATTAATCTTAGAGGACACAAACCTATCCAGTAGTGTTCGGTAAAAAATAACTTTACTGAGATATTACGATTCTAGCTAATTACAGAGACAGAAGGAAACATCCAAAATGGTTACAATGCTGTTGAAGAGCATATTAGTTTATAATAATACCCTGCCGACTACAGCCCAGTGTTAATTCCCTCTCCCTATGATCCCGGATGTCCAATATTCAAAGGGACTCAATCTACCTGATTTAAAACCCATCACCAAATCCAAGAACAGAACAAGGTCCACTCCCCTACTGCCTCTGTTTCCGTCTGTGAATTCCCTCTTCCTTTCTCCATTTCTGCTCTGTGACCTTTCTCTCCCCCGTGTCATTTTGTGTCTTTTTTATGTGTCTCTCTGTGAGTCAGACGTCTGTTCTTCAGTTGTGATTGACCAGAGAAGAAGATGTCTTTCGACCCCCTGTCCCCCGCGGCCCGCCCACACCTCGGGAAACAGCTAGATTTCTACCTCGTTTTCAATTCTGTGACCTCTTCAAATCGTGACGATATTGTCAAATATATCCTGACAAATTAAATGACGAAAGCATCTTTTAGGCATTCTGTCGCACGCACAGGCCAGTTATAAAAAAGAAAAGTTCATCACTATACTGGTCACGTACAGCCAAGGTTCAACAGCACTCAAAGGTTCTCGCTCTCTGGATTATAATCCTGAAAGACGCTCTCCTGGGATCTCCCTGGCTCCATGGCTGTGACACAGGCCCCTTCGCTGGGCAGTCACGACGCGCTGAAACTGAAGTTCATATCTAACAGTCTTGTAAGTGCGTTTGAGTCATTAGGTAACACTCAGAAATCCCTTACGCACCTATATTGAAATAAATATATCGTCTTTTTTTATTTGTCTCTTTGAGTTTTTAATTAAAAAAAATGTTTTTAAACTATTTTACTCGATGCTCTCGGCGACTGCCTACAGTAGTTCGTCTGTTTGGGCGTGCCGGCCTGCATGTACAGATTGGGGCGGCTTGTCACCCCGCGGCGTGATTGGGCGCAGAATGGCAGGCAGGAGAAGTAGCTCCAGCCTCACTTGGGATTGTTGCCCTTCAGGAGAACAGGGGGAAGAGCTAGTCCTGGAGAGAGAGAGCGAGAGATTGAGGGATTCACTCAAGGGCCATGAGGATACAGAGGAAGAGCGCTTCTCTGTTCATCAGACAGTCCTGTGATACTGCCGGTCTTAGGTTGTGATAAGATTTGAGCTCGAAAGTCTTCTCTCACCCAAGGCAGGGGTGACCAGTAAGGTCAGGAGAAGTCACAAGACAGTGGTTAAACTGGCATCAAGGTACAACACATGTACTCTGTATACTGTGTGTAAGTTAGAAATCTCCAAGTGCAGTTTGGAATAGCTCATTTTGTTTAGGGAGGAGCAGCTATCTGGAAACAGTTCTTATTCAAATGTGTTACTATCAGGCAAAACAGTAAGGTCATATTGTAGATCGCCCTCCCTTTGGTCACTGGGACTCCCCCAGCTCTTGTTCTTGGGGTGACCACCCCATAAGTAAGACCCCCCTGATGGTATCAATTTAACAATTTAACAGTCCTGCCAAGGACCACCTGTCTTGCCGGCAGTTTGTGTGAGTTTCCCCTGTTGTGTTGTTCAGGAAGCCTGGAAATGAAAAGAGGCTTGTCGAATTCTGCCAGTGATGGCGTCTCATTCACTCCATTGGTGGTCCTTGAACTGGTCGAGGACACCAAAGAAGAAGCTGTGACTTGGCTACTTGAGAAGATACGGGACAAGCAGGAGAATGGAGGTAAGAAATGCAGACACTGGTGTTCATGTCTTCCTCTTCTCTATCCTGTGGAAGCTTCCAATTACACAGGGAGCCAGTCATGTGCTGTTTCTGTCTCAGTCGGTTGTTACGCTTTCTGGGGTTATGTTTTTAGCTGACAAACTTATCTTTTGGCCTGACCTGTTTTCGCCCGTTTCTGGGATCGGCCTGTACTGGACAGGAGTGCCGCGTGGACGCGTCTCTCTGCGTGTCGGGGCCCGCCATTTGTTCGGTGTCGGTCGCCGGCTGGGCCCGCGCTGGCTGACAGTGATTCTCTCGAAGGGGCGGAGCTGCTGGTGGGGCGGCTGCGGAAGGACAGCTGGGGCGACGACGGAGGGAACCCCAACGTGTTTGTCGTGGGGGCCTCCAGAGACAGGCTGCTGAGTGGCGCCGAGGACGTCGGCCTGGTGAAGGAAAGCAACGACGGGTCGATGCGAGGATTTACGTTTGTTAACAGGAACAATTTTAAAGATTTCAAGGGTAAGGCCATCGGCGCACATCAGTGTGATTGAGGACAGTATTTCAGATAAGTGGACTAGTTCGACAGTTAGGTTAGAGCAGTCACGGTGTTGTTCAATATTATGTTCAAACTAAATATCGGTAGTCTTCAGCCGATAGGTCTGCGACAGGACCTGATCCGGGTTTTCAGAATCACTGAACGAGGTTCCAGTGGGCGTCTTCAGAATCAATAGTGAAACTGCAGAACACAAGTCCCCAGGTGGAGACTGAGAACAGGAGGCATTTCTTAATGCCAGGCAGTCTTGTTATTAAACACAGGCAATAACGCAGCTGGATGAGACCCTTGGATTCCAAAAGGGCTAGATCAACCAAATAGCCTTTTTATGTTGTCTAAAATCAAATGTTGTCTTTGTATGCACGGATTCTATACTTGTAGACGTTAAAGACTGTCGTTGTTTTTCTGCAGGTGACAGTGATGAGTTCCTCAGTGTGGCGGAGTGTCAGTACATTATTAAGCATGAGCTGGATACTCTGAGAGCCAAGGAAGAGAACAGTGTCCCAGGCTATGCGAAAGTGAAGCTGTACCCAGGAAAGTCAATCTGTAAGTGCTAGTCACAGAGCTCTTTGTCTTCTTTAGAGATGTGGGGGGAGTGCTTAATAATATTCCTTGCACTTGTTTAGTGCTTTTCGCCCCAGAATATCGCACAGTGTTTTACATGTCTGGGAGGAGACACTTCTTGTGCCACTGAAGTACAGCACCTGCTGGGTGGAGCCCTTCTGCACCAGCAGCTTCACCGCACAACACACCAATAGAGAACTGAGGAATGACTTGGAAAACCAGGGAGAACACAGTGCAAACCCCACGCAAACAGCACACCAGGGCTAGCACCTCCACTTGTACCCTTCAGTCTTTCATGATCAGTGACAAGTAGTCAAGACTCTGGCTTAATGCCTCATCTGAAGGGAAGCTCTTCCTATGATGTTGTTTTTGGTCACCAAACTGAGGTACTGGCTTGGGAATCCTGATCCTGAGGAACAAGATTCACCTACTAGTACACACAAGCATCTCTTGCAGCTGCATTTCACGTCCAGTTTGTGTCTTTCCATCTGTGCTTTAAACTTGAGCAGTTCCAAGATTGTTTGAAACTGGCTAGATTGCCATTAAGTTTTCAGCCAAACATTTTGTTGGACACTACAAAATCCAGCATTCATATAAAATATGGAGAATAATGTCAGCCTCTTTGACTCAGTCATAAGCGTGTAGTTGCCAGCTCTGTTAACAAAGCAAACTGAAAAATTCCATCAAATTCTAAAGAAAACAGCCATGATTTATAGGAAATACTGGCAGTTAAAAATTCGGTTTAAAAAAAAACTAAAAGAGCAGAACACAATCTCCTAAACTGATCTAAAAAATGCATTGGCTACTGTTTCATACAGAACATGATTTGGGCACTTACATGAGAGGAAGTTACAGTATGTGAGCCCGAGTTAGGGTTAGCGTCTGAGCAACACCTAGAGATTTTGTGATGCGTGTGCTGTGCTTTAGGATGTGTTTGAAATGCAGGAGAAGCGTTGTTTGGTTGTTTTCTTGAGAAAAATAATTGTCCCAATTTTGCAGTTTTTGGTAGTCAGCACGCGCCTGTCAATCAAAAACGGTCAAAAATGAAAAATTTCCTATCACACTTTCTACATGCTAAACTCTCGTTTTTTTGCCTTTTTAAAGCAAATAAAATGATATGTTTAACACTGTCTTCCAGCAGTGTCTGTTCCAGTCTTTAACAGAAATTATCTTCTTTTTTATGAAGTGCGTAGACTGCTGTCCAAAGGGATTTTGGTCCAAGTTTTTCCGCTACATGACAAAGAAGAACTGAAAAAACTTTCTCATTCATGGTATGGGAAGCTTAGGCTTAAATATCAACCTCTAGGTAAGTGTCCTGAAAAGTCATGGTGGAGAGTCATACATTGTTTCAGTTGAATTGTCTTCTTGTACTAAATGCCATTATAAACATAGTTCAGAAAATATAGAATATGCAAAAATTGGAATCTATCACAGTGACAAGCATCGGTATTCAGGCCCAACAAGAAAGCAAAAGGTTTCTTATAGAAAGTTAATCGTCTGAGTTACTGTAAGTACTGGTGTCATGAATGAAACGAGCACAGCCTGTGCTTTAATTCTCATCGATCAAAAGCGCTGCTGCCTCTGTCGCTGATGCGTCATGTGAATTCATACAACCATGTAAGCACCTCCGTCTCGTGACGGTGTTGATGGCTGGAGAAACTCTTTAGGCTCACGTGGAGAATACGGGAAGTGTTTTGGTCCTTTTCTGGGCGGTGCTGTTTAACTCTGAGTTGTTCCCACGCAGATGAAATCCGCCGGTACTTTGGGGAGTCTCTGGCCCTGTATTTTGGGTTCCTGGAGTATTTCACGTTCGCCTTAGTGCCTATGGCCCTCATCGGAGTCCCTTACTACCTGTTCGCCTGGGAGGACTACGACAAGTACGTGCTCCTGGCCCTGTTCAACCTGGTGTGGTCCACGGTCGTCCTGGAGGTGTGGAAGCGGTGCTGCGCCTCGCTGGCCTACCGCTGGGGCACCCTCTGCCGCAAGAAGGCCTTCGAGGAGCCGCGGCCGGGCTTCCACGGCGTGCTGGGCTACAACCCGGTCACGGGCCGGCAGGAGCCCACCTTCTCCAGCCTGAGGCGGCAGCTGCGCGTCTACCTGGTGTCTGTGCCCTTCGTCCTGCTGTGCCTCTGCGGCTCCCTCTACGTCATGATGATCTACTTCTCCATGGAGGAGTGGGCTCTGAGGCTGCACGAGGAGGAGCAGTCCGTGTGGAGCAGTGCAGGGCTGTTTGTGCCCAGCATCATATACGCCATCGTCATCGAAGTCCTGAACAGGCTGTACCGCTACGCGGCAGAGTTCCTGACTGAGTGGGGTGAGCGCTTCTCTGGCTGCCTTGGCACCTGCAGTCCTGTCACCTGAGGTTCTTCACTGGGAAGTGCGTTAAATCTGAGCTTTTTGTTTAGCCTGAACAATCTTTTCTTCCTTAATTCTCAGTGCGTCGTCTTGAATTAAGCCCATTGGCGCTCGACGTGCCGGGTTTTCATTACCTTGGTTAGTAATGGAATTGAAGTCGTTGACGGATTTTGATGAGTTCTAGGACAAGCCTAGTTCAAGAGCCTAGTTTTTTTTCCCAAGTAGGAGACAGAGGGGAATGACCATGGTTCCTAAAAAATGTCATTTCTTTATGTGGTTAAAAAGCCAGGGCTGTGTGTTATAATATGTGGATCTTTGACAGGTATGTCGTTTCACTTACCAGATATCTGTGATTAGTGTCATGGAAGTATTCATTTTCAAGGAAGCCACAAGAGAGAGTTCTCACCTGAGTAAGGTCTTTATTTCAGTATTGCAATATTGGGAGCCCTGTTGCCACCCTGCAAAGTGCATCAGAGACTCAATTTGTTACAAGCAGGACAGGGTTTTTATAAGACGTTGCGCTGTAAGAGAAATCTCAGCACTTTGTCCCTTCTAACACTTCCCCTTTCCCTAAGACAAAACAGATTACATCATAAAACGAAAGGAGAAGCACCACTAGATTTGTTTTTCAAAGCTTATCAGTTACTTTCGCCTAATCTAATGACCGAGACAGCATATATTGTTTTGGTACATTTTCTTCTAAAGTAACCTAAACAGGGCATACTTTGTTGACACACTGTTTTCTAAAATTCTGCCCATAGCACATCCTTGAAATATATTTTCTAAAAGCACCAATATATATTTTTTGCAAAGCTCTCTACATTTTAAGATTCAATTTACTTATTAGATTTCCATTTCAATTCTCTGATGCACTTTGCAGAGTGGCAACAGGGCTCCAAATATTGCAATATTGAAATAAAGACCTTACTCAGGTGAGAACTCTCTCTCGTGGCTTCCTTGAAAATTAATATTTCCATGACATTAGCAACCGAGACTGATTGCTGCCAAGCATTACATTCTGAATTGATACACTTTTATGCACTTGTATAGTTCACCTCTCATTCCTACATGCTCTTTATCCAGAATAGTGTGTATGTGTGGAGTCAACAATGCGGTAGACTTGTAGAATGTAGCCTTTCAATTAATAAATTAAACAACTAGTGACCCTATATTTTTTCACCTAGAAAACCATAGATTGGAGTCATCATACCAAAACCATTTGATCCTGAAGGTTTTAGTGGTGAGTACTTGGATCTTCACCTTTCCTCATCAGTGTGGTGCTCTTTTTAACACCTGTAGTTTTAGGCTGTGTAATGGCTGAAGTCCTATAGTTACCTGCCATTAATATGACACCCTGCCCGTCTCGTGTATTTCTTCTAGAAAATAAATTTTGTCTAGAATTTGTTTTGTTTTTCAGATTTCAAAAGCAGAATTTCATTAATTGTCCATCACAGTTCAGACTGTATGCTGTGACTGTTTCAGTCCTGTTCTTAATCTCTTTTTGGAGAATTCCAGTTGGTGGAGAGTTAGTCTATTTTAATATGCTGTATGTATGTTGTATTTTTAGAACCATTACAGTTTGAAACACCTTTATTATTTTTACCTGGGGCATCTCATATGAATCACACTGTCTCAGTGTATATGTACAGGGACCTACTGTACAGTATAAATTATGGAAATGCTATTGCACTTGTCTTCCCTATTAATTTTGTTTCTGTTCTTTTGCAGTTCAACTTTTTGAATTGCTTTGCATCTCTGTTCTACATTGCGTTCGTGCTTCATGACATGAAGCTCTTGAGACAGGTGAGGAGCAGTCACTGATGCCACATGAGCAGCAGAAACCAGCAGCAGCTCAGTAGGTGCTGGAAGGCTTGACATGCATGTCCTGGTGACACTTTGAGATTTTCCAGCTGCCTTTTAACTGAAACCTGTTAATTAGTAACTGTCATTGCACCTTTGCAGAGTTAAGAACTGGTGATTTAGTGTTTATGTATAATATATATTGTTCCAGTGAGCTGTTCACTGTTTGCACACTACAAAATAGATTAGACCTCACATGCAGCTGAAAGACAGTAATGCTCCTGACTCCTTGTTTGACTTGTCCTGATGACCTTGCGGCGTCTTTCTTCCGGTTTCAGAGTCTCGCGACGCTTCTCATAACATCCCAAATACTCAATCAGATGGTGGAGGCCTTCCTTCCTTTCTGGCTCCAGAAGAGACGCAACACGAAGGTGCAAAAGCAAGTGAGGAGAGCCCCGGTGGAGCTGCCCTGGACCGAGCAGGTGAAGCTGGAAGTGGACATGAGCACGTACTTGGTGAGTTCAGGGGTCACGATGTGGGGTACAGTATGCAGAGTCACCCTTCCTCAAGAGTGTCTCTTGAAGCATTGCTGGTAAGGACGGCTTGTCTGTCATTGTTATACCATAGGTTAAGTTTGGAATTGTCTGTGAAATTAGAACCTACTGTACAAATTAAAATGTGCGCACTTCACTTCCGACTGATTTTATTTTGCCTGTTTCTCATTTCTAGGGAACGTTTGATGATTACTTGGAGCTCTTCCTGCAGTTTGGCTACGTCAGCCTTTTCTCCTGCGTCTTCCCTCTTGCAGCTGTGCTGGCAGTTTTGAATAATTTCACAGAAATGTATTCGGATGCTTTGAAAATGTGTCAAGTCTTCAAAAGACCCTTTTCGGAGCCTGCAGCCAATATGGGAGTTTGGCAGGTAATGATGCCACATTCACGATCCATCTACCCGTGCATTTCATCAAGTACTGAACACGAAGTCTGTGTGAATGTGAATCATGACCTTTTGCACTCTGCTATATGGATTTAGAAATAAGAATGATAAATGTTTCATCTTCCCCGTTCAACATGTGATAATCAACAGAATTGGGTCGTGAATGCTTCTGTCCTCTGGCTCCTCTGCTGTGTTTGTATATCACACAGTGTTTCCTTGAATTAATAGCACCTGACATATTAAGAACTTAAGATAAACGTATTTATCTTAAGATTTATTTTGATACCAGTTGCTAATTGGTCTGAGGCTCTTCTGGAAGGAAGCCGGTGTGTCAGCTTCTAGAACATGACTGTGTAGCTTGTTCCAGTCTCCCGCAAGCCCTTGTGTGAAACCTGCCTCCCGTTCTCCATTTTCAATGCATTTTGCAATTATTTCTTTTTAACAAACATTAGTACTTTTTCCCACGACTGTAGCTGTGAATTACCGTTTGTGAAAGTAAATCTCCGTTTTGAAATCAGGTCACTGATGAAAGAATTTACATGTGATGTGGCCGAGAACAGAAGGAGCTTCTTTACATCAAGGCTAAGGCCATGTTGTCTGCACCAGTAGCCTAGCTTTCATTAACACTTGGATAGCTGAGATCTCTGGAGGAATGAGCTGCTAACAACCACACAGGCTTAGTGAATCTAATGGCCTCTTCTTCATTTATTACCTTTTAGTTTCAAGGACAGTCATGTACCAGGAGAACCAGACATTTTGCTGAATTAAAGCATTTCAGGGTGTAATTCTTTTTAGAAGTAATTGTAACATTTACTGAACCATTATTATAAAAAGGTTTCTGTTTGCATTTTAATTCGATAGAAGAAATGTGTTCATGCTATATTTACTGTTTTGAGTATCAGACACTAATGTAAGCTCATTATTTCTGTGGGAATCCCTGGTCAAGAACACCAACCTTAGCTAAACGTTGCTTCTGCTTTATTTAAATATAAATATTTTAGGTTTTAATCTTACTGTTTTTAAGAAGTGCATCCACAAGAGTTTAAGAAGATTCTGAAGTTTTTAAAAGTGGTTCAGAATAGGAACCTTAACTAGGTGACATGGTGTACAACATTATTGTATGAGGCAACAAATCCTTATTGCATTTTCAAAGTCATCTTTTGATGACTGGACCTTAAGTTCTCTTAAAGGATTTAATGGAGATGTAATGCCATTCGTGTTCTGTGTGCTTTGCCATTACCTTTTGAATTATAGTATTTGACCTAGTAACAAAGACATGATGAGATGTTTATTTGCTTCCCCTGTATGTTTCCTGGCAATAAGCTTTAAGAAACTTTCCAGAAACTGTTTTTGCTTGAATATTAAATTAGTGTGAAATTCATTTAAACAGGATCAACAGCATGGAAGCCATTTAGAAATTATTGGAAATTTCTAATGATCTAATCAGCTCTTTAAGATAAATGAACTACTCATCTATAGGAAGAGGAAATATATTATTTCTTCTGGACATTTACTGACATGAAATATAGCAGATTTAAAAAGGCAACTTTGCAGTACTCAGTTTTATAGGAAAGCAGAGTAATTTGTTATGCAGGAATTTGAGAGAGTATACTGTCAGAAAATATAGAATTTGGTTCTGCTGTGAATGTATAGCCTGTACAACTACTAGAGTGAATGAAAGTTTGACCTGCTGCTCTTCTTTAGTGTTTTTTCCTTTGGAAAAAAAAATATAGTTTTATTTTCATACACACCAATGTATTTCTTTTGATAAATGTTTGCTGTGGGAAATAAATCTCAGTGGCTTATCAATGTCTCTGTCTAAAAAAACTGCAGTCGTTCGAACTATAATAACTGGTACATAGTTATAATAGCTAAAGAAGTTATTATCCAGCAGTGCAGATGACTTCTGGTATGTCTTGCACCCCGCAGCTGGCGTTCGAAACGATGAGTGTCATTGCGGTCATCACCAACTGCGCCCTCATTGGAATGTCTCCTCAAGTGAAGTCATGTTTCCCGGACTCGGAGACACAGCTCATCCTGATCGTGGTGGCAGCAGAGGTAGGTATGGTCGTTTCCTGAAGCGTTCAGAACACAGTGCAGTGGTGTGAACTCCTCTTTTTACGGTCGGGATATAGGTTGGTGCTTTGGAAATCTTCAATTGTTGTTTATTTATGCCCACCTCATAAACCCAGTTGTGCGTTTTTTTGTATGGCTTTGAACCCTGCAGCCGCACACAGGGGAGGTTGAGGAAGTTCAGGAAGACTCCTCCTACCCGCCCAGCTTTGAGCCAGCACGTCATTTCACACATCACAGGCAGCGCAGCTCCTTTCTGGAGGTATATATCGCTGATGGGATAAGAGGCTCATTCCCCACAGACAAATCCACATGTCTGCAAGCCCGCGGGAAGCCAGCAGGGTCAGTGTTTGCCAAGAGCTGGGAGATCTGGCTGCCGGATCTCGGCCTGCTCCTGGAGGCAGTCATGCAAGCCCGCTCTGAGAGTCCAATCCACAGCTGGCTTTTCATTAGCCGAGCCATTCACGAGGCCCAGAAGTCTCCTAACTGTAGAGAAACATACGTTCGGTCCGCTCAGATTTGAGGAGTAGAACGTTGTGAAATGAGCGAACATATCCATCTCGCATAGTGATGGTGATTTTACAGTTGTGCCTTATGAAAAGTGAGAAGAGAGAAGCTCTTTAGGATCTTATTTTGCCAGCTTAATTGTTCTACAGTGTGGTGAGCTGGTGATAAAGGAGAATTGAGTAAACCAAGGCTTTTGTGGTAGTATAGTACTCAACCCCTGGCTTCTGTCAAGGAAAGAGGTGGATGAGATTTGCAGATCAATTTGCTATTGAAAACACAAATGAGCGAGATGGGCTACATGTCGCTCTCACCCTTGTGAACACTTATGTTCTTATGTTGTTTACTCCCACTTGTAAATGTTTTTAATGTTTTTTTTTTAAAGCCAGTTGGTAGTGTTGCATTTTCAGTAGATCTGCAGGAGTATTGGTGTCACAATCTGTAATAAAGAATGTGTACAGTAGATAAGGTGTGATACTGTCTTGATAGATTCATGTACGAAGTCTAAAGAAAATCAGTGACTAAACAGGACATTGATTATATTTTAACAGTTAAATTTTTAAATGGGCACTATTATATTGAAAACATCTTAATCTGATACATGGCAGAGTTTAATTATTTATGAAGTGTTCAGTGTAGTGAGCTAACTAATAACATCCATTGCTTCATGAGGTTATCACATAACCATTTTATGTCTACCCTGGTTTATAACTCATTACTTCTTCTTAAATTAGATTGTGCTGTAAGCTGTGAAACAAAAAACATATCACTGCAGATGTACAGTATCTAGACTCTCTAATTTTCATGTATAAGCACCATCCTGTAGTTCCCCTGTAGAAGAAAAGGGCTGAGAAAATTGGAGTGTGACATCCTTGAGGAAAGATGAAATTGAATGGCTGCTTTGAAATTCCTCCAAGCACTTTTCTTAAAGGACTAGTAATCTGGAAAAAGAAGTTGAATAACTGCAGACGACAGCTGCCACAAGATTCTCCCGCTGTGTGTTTTCTAGGAATAATGATATTCCAGCATTGGTTTTAGGTCTTTGTGTGTTTTCACAGGGCTTATTTTTTATTGTGCGTAGGTGCAGTTTTCAATATGTGCCTTACAGTTGTCTGATTATGAGGGGTTTGGGAGAGTGAAAACCTGTGTGCATTACTGTTTGTGAAGAGCCATGTTTGCTGTTGCTTTATTGTATTGTCCATTGTTAATTTTAGAGGATGTCTCTGTGAAGGTTTTAATTCAAGCATTCTTTTTTAAACAGGGAAAGTAAAGGCGCTGCATAAGGCCTGTTTTGTAGATCTGCGTTCATGACTGAAACATGTCAACATAAACGGTGATTTTTATTTATTTTATTTGTATGTCATCATTTAAGAAGTAGCGGTTCTTCATCTTATTCACGAGAGGCTAAAATACCACATCTTATAAAGGTGACTTAGTTCCTCAAGTAAACCTTTATTTTGTTTTATTTGGTGGGGCAGTTTAATCTTTTGGACACTGTGTGTTTATCCTAATTGTACTGAACAGATCTTCAGGCGCGGGTAGCAGATGCCAGTTTGGTTAAGGAGAGCAGTGGCCCATTAGTTCAAGTTTATTTGTCATTCCAGCCATATATATACAAAAATCGTTCCTCCTGGTCCACGGTGCAATTATATACATGACACTGACATAGTCAGGACTAATGATACTAATATGAATAAATAAGATCGTGCAAACTACGACGGAACAGAGGCAGTGTACACAGGATATATACATAGTGCAATTAACCGTTACAGAATAGTACTAAAAAGTCATCACGCAATATACACTAAACACTGGGGGAGGTGAGACCCTGCTTCTGGAATTGGAGTGGGTGCCAGTAGGCACCAGGGTGTTGAGAAGCTGTTCCAGAATCTGGTGGAGCCCCTACACTGCCGTGTCTTTTTCCGGGTGGTTTTGTCCATTGTTTGTCCTGGTATTTGTCCCGCATGCAAGAGAGAAGCCTGGGAGATGTTCGACAGAGGATCTTGAATAGATGTGATCATCTGTTGTGTAGATGTATATCCTGCCGGATACATTGCCATTGACATCTCATTGCTTTTTGTGTATCTTGTTGTCATGGGATTTGTTTTAATTGATTTTGAGCCGATGAGGGAGGAAGCAGGAGAACGGTTTGTCATGTAGATTTTGTACAGAATACACTGAACCATGATTTTCCCTAAAGTATTTTAATTCCTTTTTTTAAGCTTGATCATTTATGGTAAAAACATTTTTTTGGTCATGAGAACCTTTCTGTTCAGAGCCGGGCCTGGACATATTTTATATCCAGCAGGTGGGGCAAGAGCATCACTTGCAATATTTGAGATCTGTCTTTCCTGGGAGGGGAAATGTTTGTACGACAAACTGTAAGAGCCTTGTTTTTTCTTAGAAAAATACAAATAAAGTGTCAGAGAAAAGCTGTAGTGTAATAATCAGCTCTCACAGGACAGAGTGCTGTCAGTCTGTGTTGGTATCAGAATTATTTGTTTCAGCCAGTGTGCACGAAATATTCACTTTGCCCCAGAACGACAAGATAAAGCTTTTCTCCCTGGCATTCTTTGGTATGTGGCTTGACGTAACGTTTAAGAACAGGTATCACTGTTGATGAGAGTTATTGAATTAATAGTCTTAGCGATCTTGTGAAGAATTGTACCTGTTTCGCCAGCATTCCTTAATTGTGCAAGTCATTATATAAATATCCGTGCGTGTTATTTTTAAATGATGCTCTTGCCCTTGCGATGCTTCTTTGAAGCTTTATCTTTTAAATATATTGTACACACATTAAAAACCTATTGTTGCACATCATATATCCCACAAGAGATAATCCTTTCTTTCACAGATATTAGATATTCACTCATGAGAAATAGGGCCAAAGATAGGCCTTCTACAGCCAAAACGTTTTTTCTTTCTTCTTTTTTCAGCATGGAATAAACTTATTACTTGTTCCTTTGCGGCCTATGCATGCTGACGCAGCTCCCCACCTGAACTATAAGGACAGTCTAGTTCAGTTTTATAGCAGGCCTTTTTTTTTATAGATATATTTTTAATGTCATAATCAGGACTAATATTTTTACACTACAATTAGGTGTTTTTTGATTAAATCATTTTGGAGTTGAATTGAACCTTTCCATTGTTAATTAGTAACACAACTTAATACCATTGTCGTGGTGTTCTTGAATTAACAGATTAAGGGACTGTAAGATGTGAGAAGTTCCTTTGTTTACTGTCACCTCAGAAAGTCTGAGCTCACTTCCTGATTAGACTATGTAAAATGAGCATCACTGATACCCCTCTGATATTCATTGACATAACATGCATATTTTGTTCCACTGTCACTGAGCCGCTTTTTGTTTTTTTTAGAAAAAAGGATTACATTATAGACTTCACTGAGTCACAATTTTAGAAAAGCCATATTCAAAAATAAAATCTGAAGTGTACATTTCTCAGTGTAAGAAGCATTTTCAGTTATACAGTACGCATACAGTATATAATAACTGCTGCAAATCTAAAATGTGTGAGAGGTTGGGTTCTGTTATGAAATGACTCCAGAAATATCTCTTTTTGCAAGCTTAAAAAAATCTGCTAATAAAGTTTATCAAAAGTAGAAAAGCACATGATTTGTGTCTTTGTCTGTCTTATTCCACAACAATAGATCTTCAGATCCCAGAGTGCCTGAGGCACTTTGTAATTGTATCTTAACAGCATAATGTTGCGTCTGTATCAGTGCTCTGGGCTCATAATAATCATGATTGTTTTGATGTTGCCAGAGCAGAGACAGAATGAGGTCTGATTGGAGATGCACGTTCATCATTACTACTGTGATCGATGGAGACAGATACTGTACGGATAGCAAAACCTACAGTGCATTGTATAGTAATGACTATATATCTACAGACAGCATTTTTAATCACAATAGTATTATTTTTTCATTAAACATGAAGGTTTTTATTGTATATGAGATTAGTAGCAACATGGTGGCAGAGGGAACTTCTGGATGACCTCTGTGTGTTTTGGTAGTCGTAGTCGTGAGAGATGCTTACATGACCTGTGCTGTGCCTCTCTTGCTTGTCACAGTGCTGTACGTGACTGTGGGCTCAGGGCTTAATTACCAGGAAGCAACCCAAGATGCTCACATTTCCAGAGGACACTTTATTCACTGTGGGCAGGAGCTGGCTGCCTGGTTTCTTCCCGCTGAATACACCACATTGGGCTGGTGTTAAGTGTAACAGGTGTGTGCAACGCTCACGAACCTCCCAAAAATAACTTGCTTACCAGCAGTCTCTAATTGTTATTGCACTCTCATTGTATTTCGTATTTTGAATTGTTGAAGAGTCATGTCATTAGGGCGCTCTGTGCACATGGTTTTCAATAATACAGACCATTTTTCGCATATACGGATTATTTTAGAGTAAACATTTTCAGTATGTCACATATAAGCCGTACTGAATGAGAAATGTTTAGCTGAA